TTAATTTCTGACATTTTTGTTTGTTTTTACCTTCCTCTCGACCTAAATGATAACGCATACATTTCATTAACTTTTCAAATTAAGAATAATGTACAAAACACTTTGACTGGTCGACAGCCAGTTTTGAAAAACTATTTTTAAAGTTATAACAGTTAAAACGTTAGAAAGGAGGGGAAGTGCGGTTGGGAAATACGCGTACATAAAAATAATACTACACTCCTCTTGCCCTAAACTTGAAGCTTTAATAACTTTAATAATAGTTATCCAAAACTCGTTATCGACCGGTCAAAATGTTTAGTACGATATTCTCAATTAAAAAAAATAAATAATAAAATGTATGCGTTACCACCTAAGTTTCAAAAGTTGTTATCAAAAAACTAAATTGGGAGGGCGGAAAAACAAAAAACAAAAAATGGTGAAAAATTGAGATCAAATTGCATAAGAACATTGTGTAAAAAAAAATTAAATTTCTCATTTAACCCAGTAAGATATTGAGAGGTTCGTGATACATATATATATATATTTTTTATTCAAAGAGTGAGCTACTTCGTAGGTTTTCTTACCCATTAATCCGTTTTTGATGTTCATCAAGTGCATTTCTTCTGAATTGTACACGACTTTCCAAAATTTGAAACTCGCAATAGCAGTACATTTGTTTTCAACAATTTGTACTCGTATATACTGAACTATGCGTGGATAAATCCACAAACGTTGAATTGATAGACAATTATAATTTGAATGATCTACAACACGCACCCAATCGTGCCCATTAATTGAAACTTCAACATAGTAACTGTAATCCCTAAGGTATCAATAACATCAAATAACTTGTAAAGTAGTGGAATTTAAAGTTAATGAAATAGTGTAGAAAATTAAATTACAGGAACAGAGTTGTGCAAACAAAATTTGTTTAAATCATAGCCATCTCTGTTTGTAGGTGTTAATAAGTTTTAAAATATACCTTGTTTGACAATTCTTTAGCATAAACTTAATATAGTTTATATCTGTCGTAAGACCCAAATTGATCATGGTACCATCGTCAATTTCATTGATAACCGGATAGGCATAACTAGTATTAGTGACATCTATATCGCACACTAAAATATGAAACGGTTGAAACCAACATTATATGCCGAAGTTATAAAACCTACCATATTTGTATCGGTAATTAAGATTATTTAGTGAACACGTGTTTCTTGTTTGTATGGCATTCGAAATTGTTTCCGAGCTAACCAGTTGCGATTTCCTAACCTCAGACAGTTCTTCATCATTCATCAGCTGATACCTGACGACAGATAAAACTTTGATTTTATCATCAGGATCCAGATCGTTTTGGTTCGCTTTGATCCAGCGAAAAACCGCTCGGAATATTTCAATTTCGTTAGGACATACCGAGTTACGATTGAGAATGTCTTGTATTGTGTCCTAAAAATAACATTATATTTTTTTTCACAAGTAGTTATCTAACACGAGAAATACTGGCGGTGTTCCTTACGACTGACAACAACAGGAAATCTTTAGACTGGAATACATCCAAAGTGCGGTTGATAACAACGTTATATGCTTCGTCTTCGAGCCTATTGTATTGATAAAGTTGTGCCATGGCAAACAACGAGCACGCATTGTGTACATTGACGTTACATTGCAAATACTCGGACAGTGAAAGATGCAAATTTAAAAAACCATATAAATGCGAAATGCTAAATAATTCCAAAACCACGTCATCCTAAAGAATTAAGAATAAAACATTTGATTAGACTTTTTTTTATGAACCAATTATTTGATTGTACACAAAATTTAATTATGATATATGTATTAAACACATACTATCCGCTAAGCCATCGCACAACCTTAATACAAATAATGATTGTGCCGTTTGAGAACCGCAAAGCAACTTTGATTATAATTTACCTCTAGAATACTTAGATTCATCCGACCGGTATAAATATATTCCAAGAGTATTTTAAATGAGGTTACTGATACTTCACTAATTTTTACCTCCGTCTCATAGGTTTCTGCAAGACCATTAGACAATAAGGCCCTATAGATAATACACAATATTATTTCATACAACAAATTATGTGTTATTATTTATACAGGGTGATCATTTTATCTTAAACCACTCAATATCACTCAATATTTGAAATTGCAAAAACAAAAAGGGTTTTTCTTGTAAAAGAACAATACTTTTTACTGTGAAAACATTTAATTATCTATTAGTTCAGGAAAATAACAATTTAAACGATTCAAGAGTAAGTCAAATAATTGTACTCCTTCCAATTTTGGGATGATGAAGTCATTCGTTTTGAGTTTTTGTAGGAAGTGTTTAAAACATTAGGAGATTATTCTAGGTCAAATCGAACCACGGAAGTCCACTGGTCATTAAATACCACGAGGTGAAGCTATGAACAAGTTTTACGTGGAAGCCTCATATACCGGTGGTTAAAAATTTAATTTAAACCTAAATTCCAGACCTGAAGTTTAAAAACTACAGCTACGCGAAAATAATAATAATAGTAATAAA